AAGTTTCGACTTCTGAGGGTTGTCGTTCGTAGGGGTGCGACAGCTGGTTAACGGAAAAACAGATTTTAAACAGATAATATCACAGATTCTCTGACAGAACAATATTTATATATTTGGTGAAATGAGCATCTAGAACTATGCAGCGCAGTGGACGCCCCAAAGAGAGGCTTTTACCGACGAAAACCTCAAAAACAACAACGAATTGATGATTCTGAGCAGTGTTTGAAGCTGTTCTAACATGGTTGTGGTATTTTGAGATGCGCATACTAAATATTCATCGAATATCATTTAAATAATGATATCGGGGGGAAAAGGGCTCATCTGGAGAAGTAGAAAGTGCTGTTTCATTAGGACAATGCACTGTGTCACAAATCAATGAAAACGATGGCAGAATTATATGCATTGGTCTTCGAATTTCTTCCGCATCCACCGTAGTCTCCAGATTTGGTCCCTAGCGACTTTTTCTATTTCTCAGACTCCGCTATAATCGTTGCATCGCCCTCGGAGGCAACTATATTGGATGTTAAAAACAAAATCATGTATTTCATTATTTCAAATGTCATCATAGGTTTATGCAGCGCATGTCAAATACTGACCTTTATAGGCTAATTTTTGATCTCTGGGGTTATATTATTGAAATGTTCATAAATATTTATATTTTTTGTTATGTAATAAAGTTCATGTTATCCGCTGATAATGCAACTTTGTATAGATTAATCAACATTTGAAATCGGTTGAGTATAGTCTATACTAAGTCAATCCGAACAGCTAAATAAAAGACTCATTCACCGGATCTGATAAATTCACTAGCTAATACCTCCCACATAAAAAATAATGACTTGGACAAAAAAATTATACCACGCCGCCCATGCCATACAAAGAAACTGCCAACGTTCGGTAACTATTTAGTTTTTTATGCCATTCAAATCGACTTCGTGAGACATCCTTTCGATGCGTTGCTAACTGATAAAATATAACAATATTGGATAATATTGACATTCGGGATAACAGCCGGAAGTATACCTAGTTTGATTATGTCACGGTCTAATAAACGGGCAATTGTTTTTTGTTTCTACAAATGGAAAGCATACAAAACTTTATATTGGAATGTTATGATTATTTGATGTTTTTACATATTCAGATAGTTTTGGTATAACTTTTACGAAGTTGAACTTTTCTCTGGTATTGCCGTTCTGCCATTTGATACCAGAATGGTTTACAGTGGCCAGACGCACAAAACGGACACATACAGCTACTGGACTGAGTCATGGCCGGTGGGAGAAACCGTATCTATAAATTTTGGGTCGGTGTAAGAAAAAGAAAGTATTACGAAAAAAGGAATAGAAACTTTTGTTTGCAATTTTACGTAGTACGGCTCGAATAACAGATTTCTACATATCTACTGCACATCTTGAATGTTCAACACTGCTCCTCAATAAGACTATCGTCGTGCGCCTATGGCGATGACTACATCTGCATTCTCATGATTACCATCTCGCTAAAAAAGGCGGGAAGTATCGGATGCTGGGAAAGAGATTACGAATAATTAAATTCGCGAGTGATTACTGTCTGGTATTTTCCGGTTCAGCTGTTGATAATTTAAGTATTTGAGATCTCTGTATCCTTTCGTACGCGAACCGCCCGCCAAATGGCCCGTAACTACGACGGAAAGTCGAGTTGTAGAGTGTGACATGGTGATGCTCAAATTTAAAATTCACCGTTTTCAATGTTTATCGAAAGTTTTTTAAACGCTATCAAAATAACTGTAGCCGTTATCATTTCGACTCGGATACATTAATTATTTTTAAAATAGAATCCACATCAACGAACATATTATGTTATCGTTTTATGGTTTTCCTTATCGTGTTATCCTTCAAAATTATGGTTTATGCGCGTTTTTTTCAATTTCAATCAAATCAAGACGGCGACAAGCGATACTACATACTGTTATCGTCGTTTTCCAAATCGAAAACATAATTTTTTCCACCGGCCACACATAAACGCTAACAAATATTAATTATTTGTTGTCATCGTAAAAGTCTATGAGTTCTCAGCATTATTTAAATGATAACAAATTTATGCTTCGGGGGTTCTAGTTGCGCTGGGTTCAATATCCGTTTGATAATACCAAATAAACTTTAAAATACAAAATCTGAACTATGATTGTTTGTACGAGGCTCCACTGAATGGAAAAATATCGATAAAGGTTTGAAACTTCACAGGAGCGTTTTAAATCCTAAAGGCATTCTTAAAAACTCAAATTATTTCTAATCTTCAGTGAGGTTCTAGTTGCGCTGGGTTCAATATCCGTTTGATAATACCAATTAAACTTCAAAATACAAAATCTGAACTATGATTGTTTGTGCGAGGCTCCACTGAATGGAAAAATATCGATAAACTTTGAAACTTCACAGGAGCGTTCTAAATCCTAAAGGCATTCTTAAAAACTCAAATTATTTCTAATCTACAGTGATATTATGAGGAGAAACGATTTTTTTGTTTGCGTTTTTTGTGGATAAACCCAAAAACTATCTAAAAGATTTTAAAATATTGTTCAACTGTGACAAGCTACATTATTAGCGCGTAACATAGTCTGCATTTTATTTTCAAAAAAGTTTGACATCGCTACGAAAATAGCAATAATATATCTCGAGGTATCAAATATTAGTTTGACGCTGCGAAAACTACTGATGATACGTAAAAGAACGTACTAGATGTTTTTATTAGTCATCACTACACACAAAAAAAGTTTACCAACTATTACAGTTAAGTCACAATATAATCGAACTAATAGAATCGAAAAATTATGACATTCGTATAATTTTATAATCAATGTTGATTATGTACATGTAATTCCTCTGTAAATCGTTCGAACCGGGCCTTTCGATAAGTTTTAAAAGCCGTGGCTTGTACTACGTTTCACGATGAAATCACAACTCTAAATTGCACCCGCGCGAATCTGGAACGAGTACTAGTTCAAAATACATCTGAACTGTAAAACAAAACACTGAAATCAATCAAAATATCCTGATAGCCTTGGTAAAATGTTCAGAAACAGATGCTCGTATAGGTGTGAATTACCTTCCTGAAGCACTCAAGTAATTATCACGATAATAATAACAAAACGCCGATTGGGAAATCGGAAAGAATCGCAAACATTGTTTGATTTTTTCTAGGAGCCACGCATAATCAAAAAAGTCAAGGTGACCACATGCCCATTTGAATTCGCCCTTGTCGCCTTGCCCATTGTTATGTATCTGATGCGAAGCATTACCATATTTTATACCGGCATCATGCCGCCGCTCCTCCTGTTAGGGCTACAAATGGGATCGGGTCAGGTGTCACTAGTTAGTTAAGTATTCATGAAATTGATGGGACAGGAATAGATCGAGATATGTTTAAAGTTTCGAAATTTGGAAATATGCGCACAATTGCGTAAGAAGTTTGTTACTCGAGGAACGACTGAATAAGTTTCCTCAACTATTCAGTTTTTAATATTAAAACTATGTATTCAAATTACGGTGTTCGCGTTTTTCCATAGTAAATTAGTACTTCTGTATCACAGCGCTCCAGGCGAGAATTCTCAAGGATATCGAAATAACGAACATATCAACTAGCACACACCTGACGTTGAAGAACATTCAAAAGATAAATAAAAAAAATAATGTGGCGTCTTCCAACAGCGAGTTTCGAACTTTGACAATTAATAACGGCCATCTTGTTGAAGGTACATCTGTCAGATTAGTTGTCATTTGTTCAGTCTGTTTTGCCAAATCACCATGGGCGGATGTAGCATTGAACACCAAGTGCAAATAACACAAATGGGTGTTCTGTTCAAGCAACGTACCGCGCGCTTCATCGATTTTACGGTCGCCATAATCATCCTACCTAGAGTAAACGATCGACCAACACCCGTACGTCAACGAAATGCAAGTCTTCCAAAAACATCGCCGCTGTCTGTGAGAGTGTGCAGGAGAATCCGAGACAGTCGATTTCGCGTCGCTCACAAGAACTCGGCCTTTCATAGACCACAACTTGGCGAATTTTGCGTCGTGACTTGGACCTGCACCCATACAAATTCAACTGACCCAGGAACTGAAGGTAAACGACCATAGAGAACGACGTATGTTCGCTGAACGAGCTCCGGAGCAGTTAGCAACTAACCCTAATTTTTATCGAAAAATCATCTTCAGCGATGAGGCCCACTACTGGATGAATGGGTACGTGAACAAACAAAATTGTCGAATTTGGGACGATACCAATCCACATGAGACCCAAGAGCGTCCAACGCATCCCGAAATAGTCACTGTTTGGTGTGGATTTTGGGAGAGCGGCGTCATTGGTCCATATTTCTTTGAGAACGACGTTGGCCAGGCCATCACTGTCAACGGCAAGCACTATAGGTCCCAAACCATTGCCTTACCGCTAATGCGATTTCACAAGCAGCAATGATACAAGAAACTACCGACAGAAACACTCTGTATCGAGAGGTTGCAACACGGCGGGTAAAGCGACAGGTGAATTACTAAGGCATTCGATGTATATGAGGGTAGATCTTGATAATACTGGTAAATAGTGATATGTTTCAACCTGAACCTTATGTTAGAAATTGAGGCAGTAGTGCTATTAGAAAATATCCCGCCAATTTAATTTTTACGAATTTCTAATGAAAGGCAACTGACAGTTGCGATCTGAAAACATACGTTCGTCTTCTTTAACAAATCTTGTAAGTCTTTCTGTTTCCGAGATAGCAATAGTGAGATAAGCTAAACTTTTGAATCTTTTGTGACCTTGAATATGTCCCCAGCGAACCTCTAATGAGCTATTTATATACGAACGAATCTTACTATGTTACAGACCTACTTCAGATTTGATACAGTTATAAATATTTGTGACCTCTGAACTCTGCACCAAGATTCGTCGATGAGAAATTACTTGACATTTAAACCAGCTGAAAAGCAGCGATAACCTGAATCTTGAAAAAAAAAAAAAATACTCACCCGAATCAGATGGCGTATCTATGCCAAACTCCGCCAACCGCATTGCGGAATTCTGTCCTCCTTTGTGGTAGCTGTGATCGCTTTCAGCTGCAGCCTGATTGGACTTGATGTTGATCTTGCTGAGCTCCGGCCTGATGTCGACAATCACCTCCTCATCCTCGTCCTCCTCATCATCGTCGTCCTCTTCATCCTCTTCCTCTTCATCCTCGTCCTCCTCCTCTTCCTTAACGGTGCACATGGGCCCCATATCAGCGTCCCCTTTGCCTTCGAGGTAGTTGCAGAGGTCCACCTCTTCGTCCAAATCGCAGTCGTCGATTGCGTCGCGCAACAGCTTCAAGACGCTCGTCGGTTTCGAGTGTTTGGCCTCCTCGTCGTCAGACATCGGAGGCGTGTGGAGCATGGGGGCGGTGGCGCGCACCGCCGGCTTGAGCAGGCTCTGCTGCTGGCAGGATGACCCTCGCCACTCTCGCTTGATCGTCGGCACTGGCGGCGGGTGCATCAAACTGGTGCCAGGTGTGGGGATCAACCGGCTCACGTGCCTGAACTCGTCGTTGGAGTGTTCTTGGCTGCCGCAGTGGCCGGCCCACATGCAGTCGTGGTTGCCGGCCCACACTTCGTCTAGTATGGGGAAGTAGGAGTGTTCTTCGGGAGGCATCACAGTGGTGTCGCTGAATCCGGGCAGTTGCGAGAAATCAAGCTCGAACTTTTGCCATATGTCGTCGGGGAGCAGCGGCTCGGTTACGGGGTTGGAAAAAGAATCGATCAAATGCATCCTCGATGTTGCTATTACGTTTTCCGTCGTATTAACTATTTTAAGCTACAGTCACTAGTATCACTAATTCTAATATCACAAATTGACCCGGCTGAAGACTGACGCTGTGTCACAGCAGCTGCTGAAAATGAAAAAAAAATTAGCTTTCGATGAGTTTTCAGAAATAATGCTTATAAAAGTCATCAATTTTGATATTTATAGTGATTCATCACGAACTAACGTATAACGTAAATAGCCATTTCTCAAAATATGTTTCAAATGGAAATACCAAAATACGGTTTGTAAAAAAAAGGTGAGAGAATCTTTCAAAGAAAGGAAGGAAGTAATCAATTTGAAACTTTATACATGAATGTGTAGATCATGCAAAGAAGTAAGTAACTTTCAGACACAAAAAAACGGTTTGTTTGTTTAGGCATTTGTCCTTCTGTATATCATAATTTCATCGGTCATTTTCTCTTGAACAAGATCAGATATAGAGTCATATGTCGCATACGTGTAAACACAGCTTAAATAATAAGTCTTCCAACAAGGACTTTGACAATTGACATCTGTCAAATTAGTTGTCATTCACTCAACAACACGTGCAAATAAAAAAATTGGTTTACCAAAATGGGTGTTCTCAAGATAGGAAACGCTTAATGAAAGACCATATGTCGTTTGTTTTTCAATAGCATCGGAAAATAAACAAGTCTTACGTGAGAGTTGAAGAGCTTGTATTTTTCTAAACTGTTTATTTTTTTCATGTGAATACCACGATCAGGTGTAAACCGAATAGTAAGTACTAGAAACATTGAAAAATCATAACTCGAAAAAAAAACGGAGAGATAGAGGTGATTCTGATTGGTATTGTGGTCGCCATCTGAAAAAGCCGTTTGTTTGGTCCACCCTGTATATGATAACACTGTATATAATAATGATACATGTGCATGTACTAAATGCAGAACATTACAGCGATGGTTAAAATGTTACATTCAACGACGAATCAAAAAATAAACCACACTGTGGCGATTAGAGAATCACATTTCTATATTTTTTCAAACCCCGATCTAATAATCTGAAAACCTCCCGCTGTGGCCTGGCCAGCTGTAGGACAGAAAAAAGAATATTAACCATAACGAGGACGACAGGCAGCTGTTCCTCTCAATTATGTCATATATCTTGTGGATCGCCCGTGTTCCATCCTAGGTTTGTTTCCTATTTTTATACGGCCTATGCGGGCCGGCCATCATCCTTCCTATGTTCAGATGCAAGTATCTAATTAAGGAAAACCGTGGCGCATGCACTCGGTTAATGTACCGAAAATTATCAGAAGCTGTAGGCTATCGGATTGCCACCGGGGTGGTATTTTATCACATTTAGAAGACGGGTCAATGCCAGAGTTTATAATTTAATTTCGACGAATTCCCAGGAACTTTTATGGCAAGGGAAAGTCATATTTTTTATGTTTTCAGCTGGTTTATAAGTCGGAATTGAAGATTTTATGGACGATAAATACTTGAATTGTTTGATAATTGGAAGTTGGGTTTCTAAAAATGCAGCATTTTATTCAAAAACGGTGTCTTAATTGACTAGAACAGGCCGATACTTGATGAAAATCCTTATTAAAATTAGTTTTAACGATTCCATCATTTCTTTCATTAAAAACTGTTGACCAATAGAAGTCGTACAGACTAGTGGTTTTTTAACAATGGCATGCCAGTCTAACAGAGTTAAAAGTCTTTAAGACCTGAGAAATTTTCACAATGTAGACGAAACTAAAGAAACATTGTTATTTCAGTGCATACAAATCAAAATATTTCACCGCATCATTTTTGTTTTTCACTGTTCGATCAAAAGGCGGTTTTTATTACTTTTTGGAACATGGTCGTTGCTTACGGAAGCGCAGAAGGGTCACGTATTTTTATTATTTGTTTCTTGGAAATTACGACTTTGAATCTCGAAATTTTTACTTTAATCTCGAAATTTCGACTCTTATCTCGAAATTTCAACTTTAAACTCGAAATTTCGACTTTAAACTCGAAATTTCAACTTTAATCTCGAAATTTCGACTTTAAACTCGAAATTTCGCCTTTAATCTCGTAATTTCGAACTGAAACTCGTAATTTCGACTTTAAACTCGAAATTTCGCCTTTAATTTCGTAATTTCGACTTTAAACTCGAAATATTGCCTTTAATCTCGCAATTTCGAATTCAAACTCGTAATTTCGACTTCAACCTCGAAATTTCGACTTTAAACTCGAAATTTCACCTTTAATCTCGTAATTTCGAATTCAAACTCGTAATTTCGACTTTAATCTCGTAATTTCGACTTTAATCTCGTAATTTCGACTTTAAACTCGAAATTTCGCCTTTAATTTCGTAATTTCGACTTTAAACTCGAAATATTGCCTTTAATCTCGTAATTTCGAATTCAAACTCGTAATTTCGACTTCAACTTCGAAATTTCGAATTTAAACTCGAAATTTCGCCTTTAATCTCGTAATTTCGAATTCAAACTCGACTTAAAACTCGAAATTTCGAAATTACGACTTCGAACTCGAAATTTAGACTTTAATCTCGAAATTTATTTAATGAAATTTTTACTTTAAACTCGAAATTTTTACTTTGATCTCGAAATTTCCACTTAACTCGAAATTTCGACTTTAATCTCGTATTTTCAAAATTACGACTTTAAACTCGAAATTTCGACTTCAATCTCGAAATCTCGACTTTAAACTCGAAATTTCGAAATTACGACTTTAAACTCGAAATTTAGACTTTAACGAAATTTCGACTTTAACCTCGTAATTTCGAAATTTCGACTTTAATCTCGAAATTTCGACTTTAATCTCGAAATTTCGACTTTAATATCGTAATTTCGAAATTACAACTTTAAACTCGAAATTTAGACGTTAACGAAATTTCGACTTTAATCTCGTAATTTCGACTTTAATCTCGAAATTTCGACTTTAATATCGTAATTTCGAAATTACGACTTCAAACTCGAAATTCCGAGTTTAAAGTCTAAATTTCGGAATTAAAGTCTAAATTTCGAGAGTATAGAGAATAGTCCAAGGAATAGTCCCTTAATTTTTTGTCGCATGTTTAATGAACGCCCTGTAGAAGAAGATAGATTTAATTTCTTCAATATGTGTAAAGTTGAATTGAAAAGGGTAAACGGAACCTTCAATCTGTTATATAATCAACTGTATATAGAAATATATTTTTTATCGTGATAAAACTACATCAATCGCTCATCCAGCATTAGATACGACACATTGTTGTTGACATGTTGAAAAAATTATTGAATGACACTCATACGTGAAAATTATCAGCAGTATTACAAGATAGCGTATCTAGGTCAGACTATTAAATAATTTGACACCAAAATGTAAGATAACGTTTCTATCTAAATACTCGAGTTTTTATCTTGGCGCCTTGCACCCGAAAATCTGACCGGTTTATGTAATTCGACTTTATTTGTGATAACGCGAATTTCGGCGTCGTATTTCTGTCGCAAATCTGAAAGAAGATATCTATAAGTATTTATCTAATACGCGATTAAGTTTGTGTAGGATTTTTAATCGAGCCATTCAAGGCAATATCACAGCAGATTTCGAAGAAAACAAATATAAGGCTTGCGAAAAATACGAAAGTTCTTATCGTATCAAAAATGGTATTCCAAACACCAAAGACGATTGTGGATACTAACAATCGAAACGTTGTGAAGTAAGTTGGCTTGAAATCTTTGAATTTTTATTTTTTTTTATTATTCAATTGTTAATTGTTGCTTGTATTTTGTTTTATTGTGATTTCATTTCAGGGTTTTTTCTGCTTAATAAAATTGTTATTTTCAGCTATTCATTTCAATTTTATTAATTGTTTCAGGGATTTCAAATCATTTCATATCGTATTAGGCAATGGAAGTCTGAACTAATGAAATTCACTCCAAACAATGTCAAACCTTGGAAGATACCAAATTTTGTTTAGCTTCTGAACAAAATACTTCGGGTTTTTACGAAGAAATCGTACATTTTCGGGCAAAATAAACCACCTAAATAAAGGATGTCAACAAAACTGATAAATCTCATTTCATACCCAACATTTTCATTCTTGTTTCACATCTCAATTTCGAAACGCTGTTACAGAAAATATATGCACTTTCCAGGCAAATTTTTTGTAGACTACATACAAAAAATACCCATTCCAAAAACTACGAAATCGTTGAGTCGCCATAATATTATTCCGCAAAATGCACGAGCTCATCAAAACAGAGGAATTTGCCTTCGTCCGCATTATCATATTTGTTATGGGACGTTACGTCAATTACCAAACGATTTACAAGCTTTTTACATTCCTCGAATCATTATTTTAATACACAACGATGAACAATTTGTTTAGCATACCCAACGATGATTCGCCCGAGAAAAAAATGACTTGCAAAGAAAATGATTCACGTCCCTTGTTTTTCGACTGCTGCAAGGCATCATATGCAAACGAAAAAGTTATTCAATACTTTCGTGGAGCACGTGGAAACAATTGAACGAAAACAATCGAGGGAAACACGCTAGATGTTTACGATTCGGAGGAATGGAAAGTGTGGCGAATTTTTAATATTGATTCACTGTATTCCAATCATTGTATGCGTGGCTTGATTTGTTATGCAGATGCGATAGCTGCTTAGAAAAAAATTACAAGCAGAAAGAATCGGGGCAAAACCCGGCAAGATCTAAACTGGCATGTACCGAGTGTACTGCTTCGCCAGAAAACTGTAGAAAGGGATCCAAAAAAAAAAAGACACTGTCGACTCGTTACCCGAAGATCCTAAATCAACAAAACGCAACACTCAATGGAACTACGAAAATTAGAAATGTACGCGTGTTTAAATTTGTTTATAAATAGATAAAATGTAAACGACCGGATGGATCTCGGATTCATTAGCACAACGCGGCACAAATAGGTATGGAAGTGTTACTGACGGTCGCCTTTGAACTCCCGAAAATTCGACAACACTTTCAATGAGAATTGATACGCGAATATACTATTAAAAAAATATTTCCGACATTGCCAGATAAATCTATTCAAAATACCTTGCCTAAGGACTTGAATTATCAAAAACCGCAGTACCTTCAATTTTCCTAA